GACCAAAAATAAATAAATAAAATAATAAAAATAATAAAGAAAGAAGTCAACCCCAATCAGCCTGTCCTTGCCTTACCTATCAGTTACTTGGCGGCTACTCTGTAAGGCAGGTAAGAAAAGGACAGCTTGATTGGAGTTAGTATTTTGAGACAGTCTCACTATATAGTTCAGGCTGGCCTTAAATTCACTATGTAACCAAAGCTGGCCTTGAACATGCAGTGATCCTCCTGCCTCAGCCTCCTGAGTGCTGAGATTAGAGGCATGTGCCACGATGGCTGGCTCAGGGCTGGCATTTTTTATTTCTACTTTTTAAAACTGATTATTTTCCAGTCAGACCTTATTTTTAGGGAAACAGGACATGTATATGATAAGAGAAGTCCTATGCAACCTAACTCAGTTAAAGGCTTTACAGCAAGAGATTTATAATCTTGACAAAATATACAGCAAGGTCAATATTGCATTTATGCCTTTAAAGTAATTTATTATGCACATCGCAATAGAATGAAGAAAAACATAATTCCTGCCCTTAAGCGTTCTCTCTGGAAAAAGCACAGATAAGCCAAGCAAGGCCATACACATGCACAGCCACAGAAGTTCAAAGCACTCAGAGCAGGGAGAAGTCAGTTTTTTAAGTAGTAATGGGAGGGGAGGGCTTGCACAAAAGACAGAGAGGGAAAGTAAGAGACAGGGAGAGAACTAGGGTTGTTGGGCCTGATTCCAGGGTGAGCTCGAAGGGAGATAGAGGTCAGAACTTGTGTGGCACATTCTTGGACCTGCAGTTCAGTTCTATTATGTAATAGCCATAACTTAATATTTTTAATTGAAGTTTTGAATAGTAGGAAGTCACGGAAAGTTGACTCTTTGCTTCTAGAAGAGCATGGCGGTTAGAAATGTCCCCACCAGAAGAATAAAGTGGCGCAGAAGCTAAAAAGCATCTAAAGGATCTAGCTTTTGGGACACAACAGGTGACTTTTGCCAAGGCACTGTTAAAGGAAAGGCTGAGCTGGAAGCTAACCCATTGTGGGGTGGGGGCGTGAGCCTGCACCTACGTGGAAACAGTGGACGCTCGCTGTAGATTAGACTAGTAATTTGTGACGGAGAGGATGAAGGGACAGGATGGTACAGGAAAGTCTCCAGAGAGAGAGCATGTTTTTAAACTGAGAAGCAGCAGCTAACAAAAGAAACATGAGAAATACAAGAAAGAAACAAAAGGGCGAGGTCACCCAAAGACTGAAAGAGGGCAGCACGAACACAGGCAAAGGGAAGCACTGAATACCGAATGGCCATCTCTCACTCTCTCTAAACCTGGTGGGGGGCAAGTTCAGATACAGACAAACTTACAGGCAGGGGCAGAAAGTGCAGAAGCGCACGTAGGCACAGCTCCTTCTCGGGGAGATGCTGCAGTCATACGCTGAAAGGAATGTGAAGCAAGCCACGGTAAGGATTGGGGTCACTGGATGAAGTTGGCTGGTCTCTGCAAACGCAGCTCCACTGGACACCAAGAAGTCTCGACAATGGGGTTTTGTTTTGGTCCCTGGAAACAAACTCAGGACCTTCTGCTTGCCAGGCACCGTGCCGCTGAGCTATCTCCTCAGCCCACGACTTTCATAGGAAGGAATATACGACTGGCTTCGATGCTTTTCAGTAGCCCCGGTGTACGTCTGAGAATTAGCCAAGCCTTTGGGCAGGTTATACAAAATCAGCGTGAGGCTCAAAGTAATGATAATGGAGACCCTTTGACTGTCATGCTCTCCCTCCAGGCCAAGGTCTTGGGTTCCAAAGACAAAATCTGGATTGCCAGTCACTGCTTTCAATAGGAGACAGAGGTAAAGAACGGACTGTCAATGCCCCACATTCACAGGGAAGAACAAAGCTGTTAATTAAAGCACTTTACATGGGAATCTCTGAGTGTTCCAGGATTATAGACAGTAAAACAATATACAAATATTCATTCTTTGATTAAATTATATGGTTTTCAATGTTGATATATGCCCTTTCTTTCATCTAGAATGAAATAAAATCAAGGACACATACATTCCTGGCTTTATGTACAACAGATAGGATTAGCAGGATTAAAAACCACATGATGGGTACAATAAAACTACACAAATGTTTAAATTATTCAGTATTTGTGCCTATGGCACATAACGTCATCCTGCTGAGCCAACAGAATTGAAGGCACCTTTTCATTATTAATGTCTTTATTCCCACAGTTACCATATAGGTAGGTACACAGTTAGGTGTCCTCTAAGTCTAGCCAATAAGAGAAAATGTCTTGCTATTAGAATGAGGAAAGAAATTGTCTCCTTCCAAACTAATTTCAGGTCTTTGCTTTAGGATGTTGTTTTGAAATTCCTATTAGCCGTTTTAATTGATTTAACAAAGATTTTTTTTTCTCCTAAAAAAAAATTAAAAGGTCTGCAAAATTCTACCTTTCTGAAAATAACTTTGAGACCACATCCAGTTGAGCAAGCTTGGCGCCAAGTTATAACAGGGAAAGAACGTGAAGGCTGCCTGCCACTTTATTACCATGAAGCATCACGGTTTTGAAGGGGGGAGGTGGGGTGTGTGTATGTGTGTCTGTGTGTGTGTGTGTGCACACACGCGCACCAAAAATCAAACTTGGGATCTCAAGCCTGCCAGGCAGGCCTTACACCAGTGAACTATATCCTCCCCTGAAGGGGTTTTTATTCCACAGTAAGTGATTCAAATTTTTCTAGGCAAAAATTACTCTTAAGCATTTCTTTAAAAATTCCATGGAGGGGCCGGGGAGATGGCTCAGTAGAATAAGCACTTGCCTGGCAAGTGCAAGGGCCTGAGTTCAATCCCCAGTTCCGCCAAAAAAGAAAAATAATAAAAAAATTCCATGGAGACCATTTGGTTAGCCTTCCTCCACAAGGTGTAGACTGTCATCTACCTTGGAAACCCAGGTAACACCTACCAAGTGAAAAATGTGTCACTTTAAGCACAGTATGAACGTTTAGAAACATGGTTTTGTTTTGTGCTTTTTAAAGAACATGAAGAGGTCACACAGTACTTCCACATCTTGTTTATCTTTCCCCTGCCTGTAGGAGTTTAGGAGGTCTTCCAACTTGAATGCTTGGGAATGTTGTATTTTCCCAAACTGGCAACGCTGCTGGTGGCATCTGGTCTTTGAGAACCTCTCCCTATCAAAAGGTGGCACTTTTCCATCGCACTCATGCTTGCTCTCTCTCTCTCTCTCTCTCTTTCATTGATGTATTTGGTACAGTCTCACTACACAGCTCGGATTCACAGTGTAGTGATCCTCCTGTTTTCAGCCTCCCCAGCGCTGGGATTACAGGTGTGTGCCACCACACTCGGTTTGGTTGCCAAAGCAGGCGCTTAGTCCACTGAGCTATCTCGCCAGCCCTCCATCTCTCGAACTTGGATACCACTGTGTGATTGCTTGGTTACATACAATACAGCAGAAGTGACACATCATGACTTCTACCACTAAGTCCAAAAAGGACATATGCTTATGCCTGGCTCTGTCTCTGTGTGCTTGTCTTAAGAAACCAGCCCGGCAGCTGCAAGAAAGCCCAAACCAATCCACATTACAAGACCACATAAGGAGGTCTACAAGGAATAGAACCGTGGCCTCTAACCCCTATGCAGCATTAGCTACTAGCCTGACTCCATTTTCAAGTGATTCTAATTCTCAACCTTTGAACCTCCCTAATGACACAGGTATAAAGGAGCACAGAAAAGCCATCCTGCTGTGAATTCCTGACCTAAAAAATCTGGGTGCATAATAAATGATTGCCTTTCACTGCTAAATTGTGAGAATAATTTGCAAAACAGCCATAGAAACTGGAAGTGTACACACAGCCATCTCCATCTCATCTCAGTCCTTAATACCAGCAGAATTAACAGTATACTATATTCCATAGTATTTATGCATCATAAGTTTAGCCATTCCTGTATTTATACATTCAGTTGATTTGGAGTCATTTGTTGGTAGTACAAAGGCGAACACACAGCTTCTATAGGCCTATCTGGACGTAAACGTCTACATTTCTACAGGACACAAACCTATAAATGAGCTAATAAATACATGTAAGACAATCAGAACAGTGCTAGGCACAGAGAAAGGAATTATTATCATCCCTGTATGTTGACTTTCTTCTTGAAAGGTGGTGAGTTTTCCTTAAATTCTTCAGTGACAAAGTCTCCCTTACAAGTTACATCTGTGCCGGTGTACCCCACATTTGAGACCTCAGATTATGGCAGAAAGCTGCAAACATATTTAGCTATTGAATTACATCCCTAAGAACTTCTTTCTCGGGCACACTTGAGAGGGCCCACAAACTAGTTGTGCTTTTCGTTTTAATTAATTAATTTTTTTTTTTTTTTACACACAACTAGTTTTCTAAAAACAAAATTTGTTCAGTGGAGTGGCGAGTTCCTCCATCTCCCGCTGAAAACGGTTGAGGACGACCACAGGGGCCAAGCCTCACGCTGGGGGGGTCGGGCCCCGTTCCCCAGGCTCTCAGCCCCGGTCCATCGCGTTCGCCCCCATTTCCTGGGCGAGAAGGGAGAGACGGGGAGCGGGAGGAGGAACTACCTGGTCTGTCTCCTCTGAGCGCCCGGGAGGTTCACAGCCATCTCCTACTCCCACAGCTCAAAGCTTTAAACTTCTCTTCCTAGCGGCTCCCAAGGTCGCTCCACCTTTCTCAGCTCGCCCTCCCCACGCCGGGTCCAGGCTAGCTAAACGTCGCGCCCGTCCCGTCCGCGGGATTTGCGGGGTCCTGCGTGCGCCGCAGCCCGGCCCCGAGGAGCCCCGGGCTGCGGGATCGGCCGCCTCCGAGCTCGGGAGCGCGCCTACCGGCGGCCGGGACTCCTCCAGCCCCGCCCCCTTTTGCGCCCGGCGGCCGGCAGGCAGGGAAATGTCGTAAAGGCGGGCCCAGGAAACTTTACCCGGGGTAACAGCGCGGCGCTTTACGGCGGTGGCGGCGGCGGCTGTGCGGGGTGAGCGCCTCGGCGGCGGCAGAGGCGGCGGCGACGGGGTGACTGAGGGAGAAGTGGGGGCGGCTGAGGGAGGAGCGGCGGCAGTGGCGGCGGGGACCCGCGCGGGTGAGCCGCGAGGAGGGCCGAGAGCGGCCGCGGGTGACAGGGCCGGCGCTGGGCCCTGGCCGACGGGAACCGAGTCGGCGGGGCGGCGCTGAGGAGCGGGGGCCCGGCGCGGACTTGGGGTGCTGCTCCGCGAGGGGCGGCTTCTGCCTTTGTTTCCCCGCCGCCCCGGCAGGCCCGTGCCCCGCGTCGGCGCTCACAGCCTCCTCTGTCGGTGTGTGTCGCTTGTAGGATGGCGGAGGTACCGCCTGGGCCTAGCAGCCTCCTCCCTCCAGCAGCACCTCCGGCCCCGGCGGCGGCCGAGCCCCGCTGTCCGTTCCCGGCGGGGGCCGCCCCCGCCTGCTGCGGCGAGGACGAGGAGGACGACGAGGAGCACGAGGGCGGCGCGGGCCCGGCGGCGGCCCGGG